GCTACAAAGTTAAAATACAGTAAAAAGCAACTGATATCTTAAAATTTGTAGTAACTTTGTGCCTTGTTGAGGCTTACTATAGATTATTAACTATTATCAGATTTTCAGCTATAGTTCCAAAATTTTATTTGTATTTGTGTAATTAGTTTATATTTCCCTAGCAGTTGTACAAGTAGCGAGCAAGGAATGACCAAAAATCACAACTGCCATTTGTTTAAGGATATTAAAAATACTGAAACTGAATAGACATCTTTGCTAGTTTTGTGTAGACTGCATAGTGAACAGTGTACTATATCAGTCCAAGAAAATAGACATGGGAGGAGACAAAAAGTGAAAGAAATAAGAATGAAAGTAGAATGAGTGTAGGATGAAAAAGTTTCAAAATGAAGGAAGGTGAAGAAAGAGGATGTGGAAAGAAATATAGGAATAGAATAGAATAGAATAGAATAGAATAGAATAGAATAGAATAGAATAGAATAGAATAGAATAGAATATTTTTTATTGGCCAAGTGTGATTGGACACACAAGGAATTTGTCTCCAGTGAATAAGCTCTCATTGTACATACAACCAACAAAGTTGTTTTTCTAATGTTAGGTTTGTTGAAAAGTACATAAAAGTGTATGTATACACAGTAAGGAAAGATTTTTATGTCATCCACCAGGGCAAAAAAAAATCTAGTATAAATCTGACCTTTTAGTGGCCATAAGAAATTATGTTTATTTTTGCCCCCAAACCCATTCCAAATCCAGGGAATGTATACATGGCATAAACTAGATGTGTACTAGCCACCTCCAATTTATCTGAACATACACTGGAATTTCAATAATTGCCCTCTTCTGCAAATCTGGAAAATTGGTGGCTAGAGAATGTATATTTTGGCTCACTCTGCATGTAGCATCTGATTCCCTAGGGCAGGGCTTTTCAACCTTTTCACCAATTGTACCACTTTTAGAATATGGCAACATTCGAGTACCACCAGTCACCCAGCAAGGTGTCAAAAGCTTGATGACAAAAAAAAAATTGGAAAAAAGTGATAAAGTACAGGTAGTCCTCAACTTACAACAGTTTGCTTGGTGACTGTTCAAAGTTACAACAGCACTGGAAAAAGTGACATGACCATTTTTCACACTTATGACCATTGCAGCATCCCAGGGTCATGTGATTTACATTCGGATGCTTGGCAACCGATTCTTATTTATGATGGTCACATTGTTCCAGGGTCATGTGATCACCTTTTGCAACCTTGTGACAAGCAAAGTTAGTGGGGAAACCAGATTCACTGAACAACCATGTTACTAATTTAATCTCTCTCCTTCTTTCTTTCTCTCTCTCCCTCTCTTTCTTTCTCTCTCCCTTTCCCTCTCTCCCTTTCTTTCTCCCTCCCTGTCTCTTTCTCTCTCCCTTCTCTCTCTGTCTCCCTTTCTTTTTCTCTCTCCATCTCCCTCTTTCTCTCTCCCTCTCCCTCCTTCTTTCTCTCTCTCTCTCCCTCTGTCTCCCTCTCTTCTTTCTCTCTCTTTCTCTCTCTATTTCTCTTTCCCTCTTTCTCTCCCTCTCTCTATTTCTCTCTCCCTCTCAAAGATCCTTAAAATCCTTAAAGTTATGCTTGGGCGGAAGACTTTTTCTTTTACAGATGGGGCAGGTGGGCCCGACATTCGCGGGCAGGTAGGACCTCGCCCACCGAGCCACCGCCTCCCCATCGCCCTCCACACCAGCCGGTTCCGTCGCCAGACCTCCCAGCTGATAAGCGCAAGTTCGGAGGGTCGCCATCTGACGGGCGCAGGAGTTCGGCACTGCGGCAGCCTCCCCTTCGCCTTCCGCAACAGCCAAAGCGTTGCCTGACATTCCAGCTGACGGACAGAGGTCCGGGGGTCGCCAGCTGACGGGCGCAGGAAGTAGGAGCCACGGCAGCCTCCCAGCTGCCTGCTTCTTTGGCTGGAGCAGTTGCTAGGGCTTGCATGGTTGCCGGCGGCAGGAAACGCATTAGCGGCCCTTGGGGACTATGCAAGTCCTGGCAACTGCTCCAGCCGAAGAAGCAGATGGCTGGGAGGCCGCCGCGGCGCCTACCTCCTGCGCCCATTAGCTGGAACATCAGGCAATGCTTTGCCCTGTGCGGAGGGCGAAGGGGAGGCCGCCACAGCGCTGAACTCTTGGGGCCATCAGCTGACGACCCCCGGACCTGCGCCCATCAGCTGGAACGGTCAGCAATGCTTTGGCCGGTGCGGATGGCGAAAGGGAGGCCGTTGCAGCGCCAAACTCCCGTGCTTGTCAGCTGGGAGGTCTGGCGATGGAGCCGGCTGGCGTAGAGGGTGATGGGGAGGCGGCGACTTGGCGGACAGGGTCCTGCCTGCCTGCGAATGTCGGGCCCACCTGCCCCATCTGTAAAAGAAAAAGTCTTCCACCCAAGCATAACACCAGCAGTTGTGTGCCACGGAGGCTTGAGACACGGAGGCACAGGATGCGGAGCGGCACGGTGCCGTGGGAGGGGGCAGGACCAGGGGGAGGGGTTACCTGCATCCTGCCAGCTGAATTCTGGAAGCCTGCCTGAATGAAGAATTTTAGGGGGTGTTGAAAGCGAGACAGACTTAGGGCTGTATTAAGATCATAGATGGCTGTATAAGGAGAGTGGAAGGGAGGCGAATTCGGGGTGGAGCAGAAAACACGGAGGGAAGGCATTAGAAAATAAGCACCAAGGTATATGGTGCCTTGCAAGGGATTCCCGAGTGTTCCGCAATTGTTTTTCCTCTCTCCTCTGCGCAAGAAAAACTTTTGCGGCGTAAATCTGAAACCAGGTGTTCCTGTGAGGTGGCGCAGGAGGTTCTTGGGAGAGGCGAGTACAAGCTTGGCGTTTCCTCTCTTCCAATCCCCTTCCTCTTCTTCACCCCCTTCCCCGGCCTGCCTGCGATCTGAGCTCGCGGCTCTGTGGCTTTTCTTTCCTAGCCTAGCCAAGCTTTCTTTTGCCCGCCCCATTCCCGGGAGCGCCAAGGAGGTACGGCAGAAACACATGAATTGGGATTGTGGTGCCCTTGGGAAGCTGATCATGCTTTGAACCTTAGGAGAGGAGGAGTCCTTTCCTCCTTCCCTCCCTCTCTCCCTGTCAAGCCCCAACGGGCTCGATGTGAACAGGCTGGGGGAGGGGTCGAGGATGACATGTGGGGTGGCAAAAGAGGCCAGCGCCGGGGCCAGACCTCCCAGCTGACAAGCGCAAGTTTGGGGGGTCACCAGCTGACGGGTGCAGGAGTTCGGCGCTGTGGCGGCCTCCCCTTTGCTGATCTGAGTTCACGAAAAGTCAAACCAAGTTGCTGCACAATTAGTTCCTGAGGAGGGTGGGGCCTTGCTCTGCACCTGTGCTCTTCACGCGCCTCCTGTAGGGCACATTCAGTAAAGTTCATGCAGGCTTCCGCCAAGCAGCATATTTTCCACAAACAAGTGAGGTGGGAAAGAGTGGAGTGGGGGGGAGGAAGGAGATGCCGCGGGGGGGGGAGAAGGCGACGCCGCGTACCACCAGCCAGGTGGTCGCGTAGCACGAGTGGTACGCGTACCACCGGTTGACAAGCCCTGCCCTAGGGGGATCATGACCTTTCAGAGGAATAGTAACATGAGCAAACCTCAAAGTAGCATTAGCTCTGAGAGACTTCTGCATGTAGATAATTGAATTAGCTCTTCCACATTTATTGACATTACAAGATACACAATTTGCCTCTGCAGATGTGACCTTTGCTGCACAATCCAGCAGAATGCTCTAGGCTGGAAGATGCTAAACCCAGTAGCTCATTTCTGTAAGCTCTATTTTTCTGGTGATCAAGTTGAAGTGAACCATGAAAAATTCTTGTCTGGACAGATAACTCAACAGTATTCAGTGAAGTAGCATATGTGTAATCCAGATTAAATCCTTTTCCTTTATGTTTCATTATATGGATTTATTTATTGGTTATAGGAAATGTAGCCTATATAGCTGAAGTAATGACTAAAGGGAATTTTCTCTAGAATCTGGAATACAATTCTGTTTTGCCCTGCCTTCTTATCTAAACAGGAGTTAATTTTTTTTTCAAGTTTATCATCTAGTAATCAGAAAAATGCTTCATTGTAAGATCAGATGCAGATCCTTCAGAGTGTTATGGAATAATAGAAATGATATTATAAAGCTGCAAACAATTTTTATGCAATTATACATTATACAAAATAGAGGTTGTGGCATTTTTTTGTGCATCTCCCTTTGTATTGACAACTGCATGTTTGTAGATTACTGTAGATATTAATTCATTTTGGTACATCCTTAGATCTAATGTAATTATCTTTTATTAAATCAAACCAATCAAATGAGTGTGTGATTGTGAGTGTGTGCTTTTGTCTTTCCCTGTGCCCATAAATTGTGATAACAATGTGAGTTATTTTTTAAAAAAGAAACCAAAACAAACTAAATTATTAATAGTCCTATTCCTTTCCTTTTTACAGAAACCAAAGCCCTGAAACAAAATCTAATTCAAACACTGAATTTCAAACTTTCAAAATAGGTGAATATAACCAACAAAAATAGATTCAGTTTTACAAATAGAAATGTTAACATCCAATGGATTCAACTCAAAATGTGCCAATACTAAGACAAGCCCAAATCATGTCAGTTAGGCAATCTTCTGCTGATCTCCAAAAGCAAGGAGACCAAGCCCAACATCTACTAAATGTTCTCTGAGGCATCAGATATATTTAAAAGCCTATTTTCTGTCATGTTAGCATATTTTTTTAAAAAAGAAACCAGGTTTACACTTGTGGTTTAAAGTTCCATTTTTGCGACTAACTCACTGAATCTGATTATTCTAGAAGTAACATAAACAGTATTAATTCAATTTAAATATTCTAATATCTCATAAAAATGTGTTATAATTCTTTGAAGACTTTTTACAAACAGAATTTTAGAAAGCAATGTGTCTAGACAACATCTTTTGGAGAAGGATATTGATTTTGTCGTCAATTTATGTTCCTGTTCTTTGTATTTCTATTACAGAAAGTTAATATTGTGCCCGGTGACCCTTTTCAGGCCCACTAGCCATGCCAGGCATTGTGGTGTTCCGTCGCCGCTGGTCTGTGGGAAGTGATGATCTTGTTTTGCCTGCCATTTTTCTCTTTCTTCTTCATACAACTTGGTAAGTGAAAATATGCTTAAGAGAAGACTTCTATTGTTAGGTAATAAGTCACTGATATTTGTTTTGTAATTTTTATGTCCAGGTATTAATACTATATTGCAATTTAAAATATTCTGCTAAAGTTCATATATACAAAGCAGTATGGAAGTGGATCTATGCATGTAGAAGAGTTCAGGCTCAAATAATTCTGTTTTACTTTTTTGTTCCACTGCTATGGTTCTGTAAGGCCTTCAGGGAAGTTGTTGGAATATCCAGTTTATTCTTAAATCAGCTAAAAAGAATTGAAAAGGAACAGAATTATTAAAGAGAAAGGGAGCCACAGTAATGATATCCATGTTTGTAATAGATGATAACTGATAATTATATAAATCCACTCAAATCATACTGTCAGTGTCAAAAGAAAAGATAGAATTGGTTTGAGGGGTTTCTGTGTAGATACTACCAATGAGAAAGCTGAACCATTTTGGCATCCAGTAAGAAACTCTTAAAGGCAGGGCTTCTTGGATCAAACTACATTTTGAAAGCTCAAAACCAGATTTGAGGCAAATGCAGTTTTTCCATATCAGCCCATTAGTATTTTTGTAATTAAAGTGAGTTGTACTTATTCCTAAGGGGAAAAAATTCAATATCTATAGTGGTGTTATCTTTATTAGAAGTAAATATATACAAAACCATAAACACATTTTTGAGATCTCCAGATCTTTTTGTTATACAAAATGTTATGAGAAGTTGATGGAAGTGAGAAAGGAGATGAAGATACACATTGAGTTGGTTGGATGGAGGGATGGACAGACAGACACTCCCAATCAAAGATTTAACAGACAGGAAGAAAGGATTTTTTTATGTGAAAGGTTAATGACCTCTCCTCAGTTCCAATACCTAATATTAATATCTGACCTCAGAATTCTTTTGCTGTGAGACTGTGTTTCCTGTTGTGAGATTTCAAGATTCTAATATATAAAACAAATTAGTACTTGCTAGCCTAATGTCAGTTATCCAAACTCTGCTGTTCGTGGACAAAATGATAGTTGGTGGTAATTGCATTTATGTGTCGTCTTCATCTTGTTGGGTTCCTCATGAGCAAACAAGTTTATGACATTTAGGAGCCTGTGATAGTTAAGATGCACTGTATGTCTGTGTGTGTGAGAGAGAGAGTGCATGTGTGCTAATGTGTTGTCAAGCATGGTAAATATCATGCTGGGATAGAAACATTGTAACTTGCATGTGGGATTTAAAAAGCGTGTGCCTGATAAGATTTTCTCCTGTCCTCTGCCAACAATTGAAGTATGTGCAGGTTTTTGCCATTCCCATTTCCAGGCCTCTTTACATGATGAAGAGACAGATTAATCTCAAGGGGATTGATGCAGCCCTTTCCCCCCCTTTGTATTGCAGAGGAACACAGAGTGTGTTCTGGGACACTATCCAGAAATCAGTATGTAGGTGGAAAAAAAACTTTTTTAGCTAACCACCAGCATTTTACAGCAGCACAAGAAATGCATAGCCCAGATAAATGAATGATATTAATAAAATGTAGCTTTGCTATTGGCTGAAGTGATATATTCTATTAACTGAGAATCCCATAACCACCTGTACCTAAAATCAACTAAAATCAATTTGACAGTCCATTCAGGAACTGAAACTTTGACTTCATGAGTAATATCGAAATAATTTTTCTGTGAATAAAATATTACACATGCTACAATATCTTAGTAAGTTTCTTATGGGATAAGCTTTTATTGGCAGCAGTTAATTTCATAAACTGCAAACAGTTTTGGTTATTTATATAGTGTTAACTATTCCCAGGAATTAAAAAAACGATATTTCCTTTCTCAGCTTATATAAAAACAAAACAAATGAAAACAGGTTTTTTAAAAAATAAATAAAACTAATAATCATTAGGCTTCTTGATCTTATATGGCTAAAAGTGTTTGGTCATGTATATATTGTCTCAAGCTTTGACTAGAGAACGTGGCTTGTTTTACGGCAGGTTCATCATCCTTTCTGTGGTGCTCTTTGGACTGGCATACAATCCCAATGAGACCTGCTCTCTCAATCTGGTGGACCATGGGAGGGGTTATCTGGGCATTTTGCTCAGCTGCATGATCGCCGAAGTTGCAATCATCTGGCTCAGCATGCGTGGCAGCATCTTGTACACAGAACCACGGGATTCCATGCAGTATGTGCTATACGTCAGACTGGGTAAGAGGCAGTGGCCAAGAGGCTTTTATTAATGTTTGATCTTGATGCAGCTGGCTGTCATGCTCTCAAAGGATTCTCTGTTTATAATATTTACAAACACAGAGTGATCCAAGGGCATTTTCAGTTGTGGCACCAAAAGAAGTCTGCATCTGGATATGCGTACTGTAGTTAAATATTATTTTCAAGTTTTACTGCTTTTGTAGATGTGGGAAAACATGCTCCTATATTCCCCCAAATTGGAAAATATTCATGCTTCCACAAAATTTATATCAATTTTTCTTGGGTAAATGCCCATTTATGATTTTTTATTGTTAAAAAATTCACAGCCTCATTAATGAAATACATATATTTTGTCTGATACCTTGACAGCGGTGCATGTGTTTTATTTCTTGTATTCAGAAAAGACAAACATGTTAGTATGGTATTTTTAAGGATAAGTAAATATAGTTTACTAGTCTGTGAAGATAAACGTGTGCTATAATTATCTTTCTCAAACTCACCATTATTTCCTTTGTTCACTTACCATGAGCTTTCATTTGTAAAAAAAATCTGATGCTTATCTATCCTTCCCAAAAGTGTATGTGGAATATATTATGCGATTCACTCCAAGCCTTCAAAAAAATGGCTACATATAGATATATATATGCTATAGAGAGATAGGAAATAAGACAGTTTGGATGCTTTCCTTGTTCATTTTTATAGTTAAGGTTCCCATTATCATTCTGTAATATTTTTCTCCTAGAGAACTACATTGCATGTGCGTCTAGATAAAAGCAAAAAGTTTTAGATTGACATTTATTTTTATTTAGTTATGGCATCGATGAAAGTCATGCAATCACTAATATACAAAAGTAATAAAACACATTATACATAGAAATACAAATACAAGTTTAACAATATAAGTTTAAATAAAACATCAGCAAATGTATATGTGGGCAATACAATATACCAGATAAAATATTAAATTAAGGTAAAACCGTGCTAAAATCACCAGGATATAGCACCATAGAATAGGATAGATGTTATAATTTAATATCTAAGCAAGCTAATCATCTAACTTCTTCTGGTGTGGCTGCAATTAGTTCGTCGCATTTAGAATGACACATCAGAATGGATATTTTTCTCATTGCCTAAGAATTACTTCTAAGAAATATGGTGAAATCAGTTGTTGTTGTTGTTACTGTTGTTGTTGTTATACCGTTGTACACTCTGCTCTTATTGTTCCAGCAATCTTGGTGATTGAATTTGTCTACGCTATTGTGGGCATTGCTTGGTTAACCCAGTACTACAGTTCCTGCAATGATGTTACTGCCAAGAGTGTTACTTTGGGTATGTATTTAAAAGTATTTATAAGTATTTAAAATCACATATAGTGTATTGAGATTTAACCTGTTAATAAACCTAAAGAAGTCTTGCTGTTTCACTATTGTAATTTAGTTTTTCTAAAAACATTCATGTACATTTATTCATAGGCATAACAATAGTATTACAACTAGAAAGGATATAACTTTTAATGTCTAACTAGGCTGTGCTAAAAAAAGCGCTATATACATCTATATATGTTTATGCCATGATCCTATGATGGATTGAAGATGCAGACTGAACAAAGTGGTAATGCATATGTAACTATTTGGGGTCACTATTATTACACACAGTATTTTTAGTCATTGAGGCTTGCTTGATATCTCTCATTAAATATATTTTGTGATATATTTATGATGCTAAGAATATCAGTAGTGTTATATAAGAATTATCTTTATCATGTCAAAGAAAATCAAACAGGGAGTATTACTCAGTAAAAAAGGAATACATAAACTTTAAGAAAAAAGTACAAATGAGTCAAATCTGCCACTCACAACCTGGGCCTTATCCTCTGTCTTCTCTGTTTCACTAGGAATGGTTGTCTGCAACTGGGTGGTCATTTTGAGTGTCTGCATCACTGTCCTGTGCGTCTTTGATCCAACAGGACGGACTTTTGTTAAATTGCGAGCCACAAAGAGGAGACAGCGTAATCTAAGAACATATAACCTGAGGTAAGAAAATTGTAATTGTAGAAGTTGATTCAGGGTTTTTATAAAATAAATTTCCAATTTAGATAAATGCAATCTATTGTTTTTAATGTAGTTGAGCACAAATGAGTGTATTCAATATGGCAGCAAATAGTGCAGTTTATATGTTGGGAATACTTTTTTTGAATTGTAAATAATAAATGCCTTATAAGCACAATTTGGGTTTCCAGGTATATATTCTTTTTAAAAATATATTTTACAACATTTATATTCCTTTTTACTGTGCACTAAAGGTCAATTGTTTGCTCACAATTATACTACCATGTACATTAGACTAAAAGGTAGTGGTTTAGCCTAAATCATCTAAGTATAAACGGAATACGTTAAATGTCGTTCACCCCAAGCCACAAAAAATGTGTACTTGGTTTGTCATAACTGAATGAGCCAGGAGTATTTGACAACAAAATGGTATTTTCAGCTGTGCAATTTTCTATTTTTTAAAATAAAAAAGTTAAAATAGATATGCAAACTTTTATAATTAATTCAGTCTAGCCAGTGTGATTTTTTTTCCACAAAAATATAGGGTTTGTGACCAAAATACAATATAACATTTTCCATCATTTTGTTTTCCTTCACAATCCATAGAGCAGGGGTAGGCAACCTTGACTCTTTTATGACTCATGGACTTCAACTCCCAGAATTCCTGAGCCAGCCATGCTGGCTCAGGAATTCTGGGAGTTGAAGTCCATGAGTCATAAAAGAGCCAAAGTTGCCTACCCCTGCTATAGAGAATCATATTTCTGTAATATTGCCTAGGTTATATTGGAGATTTGAACTGAGCAAAAGTCCTTATTGCAGACATATCAACCTCGCGACGTCACATGATGTTGCGCAACATATCAGAGCTTTTTCTCCATTGCCGGCAATGGAGTGGCCGCAGTTTCGGGATGACGCGTCCGGCCTATGGGCCAGCAGTTTGACACCCCTGCCTTATGGTTCAGAACCTAAACAGAGTGCTGAAAAATACTGAGTAATTAAGTAGCAGAACCTCCCATTTTAAAAATGCTCATAATGTATTAACTGAGAAACAGAGTAAGAGGTCAGTCCATCTGTTATTAAATGCTAACTGACACTGATCATATTTGAAGTAAGAGCTACATATTTTGAAAAATCCACAAAGACAAAAAAGCTTGAAGAATTTGAAGAGAGCATACAAAAGGAAAAGGTTTCCTTTATCTCTTAAACATAAAGACTCATTTAATCAACAATGAGTCAAATGAGAAACAGACATGAGGATGCTATGTGAACCACCTTCCTCTGACATTTTTTTTCTAGGGTGACTTATGTATCTCTGTAACGTAACTGTATTCCAGCAGGTGGCAGAACCTAGTCTACTTTGAACTTGAACAAGTTATGAAAAGTTGTTTCAGCTACTATTTGGATGGGAGACCACTGGGAAATCCCAGAGCTGTAAACTGGACTAGGAAGTAAAAAAAAAAAAGCTTTGGAAGAAGACAGTGGAAAACCATTTCTCTTCTGTTGCAAAAGAACATAATTACTAGGACCTGAGCTGTATTTGAGGGAGACTTTACTTTTACCTTATAAAGTAACTATAGATTATAAAGAGTTCTAAATCTGTCACTATTCAAAAAATTGTGTGGAAGCTTTAAGACAGATGACATTCAGAACTGTTCACAATTTCATTCCATATTATTCCAGTGTTTATATATTCTTGATGTTAGGCTCTTGATGTCATTTTGATCTGATGGTTTAATTTGATTGTGATTTCTTTTTTTAAGGCATCGCTTGGAAGAAGGCCAGGCTAGCAGCTGGACCCGTCGACTCAAAGTTTTCCTCTGCTGCACACGAACAAAAGATTCACAATCAGTAAGCAGCTACTGTCTTTTCATTAAAAAACAAATATAAGTCAGGATTTTGACAGTATTATAGTATGAGAACTATGGCTGATGATGAAAGGAAATACGGTACAAGTATCCTATCAGGATATTCCACAGATGCATGTTGACCCAGTGGTTCTCTTGTAAGAATAGAAAAGCTTTTCATAATTGATGCAAATAAACCTTTATTTACAGATAAGCTGTTCATGCTTGCTTAGTTGCAAAAAAAAGAAGTCATTTGTAATGTAAGAAAATTACTAAGCTTCAAAAAAGGCCTAAAACTGTTGAGTTGGCTAATTTTAAAATATATAGTAATCTTTTATTATCAAAAATATGATTAAAATAATCAGATTGTTTTCAGTCATGAAACCTTTGAAACGAATTCCATATTTGACTTTAGGCAAAAGTAAAAGTATTAATAATATTCCTCAGAACCACCTAATCTTGGCCTGCTTGTAGCTGTTAGACATCCTATTTAATATGTGGTATCTGATACATGATATTGAATTGTGCAGGTTTGTTCACCCACAGTGTGTTTGCTAAAGAAGAAATAGGTCAGGATGTCAAACTGCCGGCCCATGGGCCGGATGCATCATAGCAAAACCGCGCCCACCCCATTGAAGGCAATGGTAAAAAAGTTGCGATACGTTGCGACATGTCACCTGATGTCGCAAGTTTGATACCCTGAAATAGGTGCACTAATTGCAAATACTGCTGTGTATTTTACACAGCAGTATTTGCAATTAGTGCACCTATTTCAGGGGTGTCAAATTCGCGACGTCAGGTGACATGTCGCAACGTATCTATCCCCCCTCCAAAAATTATCTCTGAATTCCAGAGGCTAGAGATGTTGGTCTGTTATTGGTCTCTATTATTACCTTGCCTGTGAGTTTTCAAGGTTTAGGGTTAGAGGCCTTAAGTTGGTTGCCTTAAGGATTGGAGGGAGAATCCTAGCCTAGATCAATTATTGTTATTTTGACAAATATGATACAGTAGATAATATATTGGATAGAAAGTGAGAGGCCTAATTCAAATACCTGCTCCGCTATTTTGCTTAATGCCTGCCCTTCAACAAGTTGTGTCACAGACCTGATTTGCATAATAACTTTAGTATATAGCATGGTTTGTTGAACAAGCCACATTGGCATGATTCACATAATACTTTCATGGTAAGAGGATGGTAATAGGTTAAACCAAAACCAAGCAAACCACATTATATGTTTATCTATCTGGCCACAGTATTTCATATTAGTTCATCTTATTGATTTGTTTTTGACACATTATATATGGATTAAAGCATTGTTTCTTGACTACATCATGAAGAAAAATTGAAGTAACGTTATGTATGTTATTTTAAACTTCTTAGAAGTAAAGATTAATGCAATTAAAAATCGATGCATTCAGCGAAGTGTAGAAACTGATAATCCAGAAACAGCTGCATTTATACATAATACCAAGGGAGGATTATTGTTTATTCAATAATGGTTGCCTAATTCACACATAAACTAAGTTATAAAGGATTTACTTACATATCATGTTTTTTTTTAAAAAGCAAACTGCATTGTGGTTTAATATGCCTTTAGCAATCTAACAAACTAACAATTATTTTAAGCTCTTATATCTTGCTTGTTGCAGATTAATTTTTCACCTTTTCCTCTTTTGATTTTTTCAGGATGCTTACTCTGAAATTGCATATCTCTTTGCTGAATTTTTCCGAGATCTTGACATAGTCCCATCTGATATTATAGCAGGCCTTGTTCTACTACGTCAACGACAAAGGGCAAAACGCAGTGCAGTGTTGGATGAAGTGAGTGTGAGGAATTCTCATTTCAACCGTGAAAAATGGACAAAATAGACTAACATTACTTAAAATCACCTACTGTGATACATTTCATTTTTGAAAGCTACCTATCCCTTCTGAGCTACTTACAGTTTCACTGTTTTTTTATTGACAAGACTGAATTAATAAATATTTGGGCACTGAAATGGAGGAAATTATGTTTTAAATGTCTTTTAAATATGAGAGAAAATACACCATAAAGCACCAATTCTCTCTGATCTGATTTTTTTTAAATTAACCATTTGACAGTTTAATTTGATCTGAGTACTGTTTGTAGGAATTCATTAAGCAAATATCTAGGACAACTTGAGCAGTGGCAAATACCGTATTTTGGATAATTAACATATTGCTTATTATGAGATATGGTGGCAAATATGCTATTAAACATTCTTTTCCTCTTTCTATGTTTAATCATCCAGAAGACAAAAAATAGCTTAATAGTAGCCAAGCATCTCAACTCCGCAATATAGGTCACAACCAAAGCTATGTAAACGTAGTGTGACCACAATTGAACCCAAAGTTTCTGTTGCTAAGTGAGACAATTGTTAAGAGAATTTTGCCCCATTTCATGACTTTTCTTGCCACAGTTGTTAATTGAATTATTGCTGTTGTTATGTTAGTAAAACAGTTGTTAAGTGAATCTGACTTCCCCATTGACTTTGGCTGTCAGAAGGTCACAAAAGGTAAATCACGTGACACCAGGACAGGGCAACCTTCATAAATATGAGTCAACTGCCAAGTGTCTGAATTTTGATCACGTGACTGTGGGGAAGCTGCAGCAGTCATAAATGTGAAAAACGGTCATAAATCACTTTTTTCAATGCTGTTGTAACTTCTAATGAGCACTAAATAAACTGCTGTAAGTTGAGGACTACCTGTAGCTGTTGCCATAGGAAAGTTCAATGACAGTTAAATTTATTTTAATCTTAATTAGTTTCAGCCAAACAAAAAAATTCTGAACAATTTCAAGGCTGATAATTATTTTAATTAAGCCTAAACGTTTGTGGATTTGAGTCCACTTTATCAGCTTACCTTACATGTATTCTAGTCTACAAAAATCAAGCCATAAATGTATTGTTCTCTTTGAGGGAGATGGATGGTTCAGAAATATGAAAAATGAATACTTAGCACATACTGAAAATATGTGTAGTTTCCAACTGTATTAATTCAAACGAAGTGTTTACTTTCCTTAAGTACAAGTTGAATGTTTTATATATATATATATATATTCTAATCTGTATTATTTACAGGCAAACAATGATATCCTAGCTTTTTTGTCGGGAATGCCAGTTACCAGGAATACAAAATATTTGGACCTGAAGAACTCAGTAAGTTTTCATATCATTTATTGCAGAAAATATGCAAATTCAGTGGATCAAAGGAATTAGTTCTGTCTTTCCCTAGATAAACTCTTGTTCTGATCTAAGACCAAAGCAAACAGCAGATGCTATTTGACAACTAACTATTGTCAGAATGAAGCTATATCAAATTAATAAATAATTAATAATAAAATAAAAATAAATAAAAATAAAGTCACCAGGACCAAGTGGATTACACCCCGGGGTTCTGAAGGAACTGGCAGATGTGATCTGAGAACCACTGAACTATATTTTTCAAAGATCCTGGAGCACTGGAGAGCTACCAGAGGACTGGAAAAGAGCTGAGGTAGTTCCCATCTTCAAAAAAGGGGGGGGGAATGGATGCAGGAAACTACAGATTTATCAGCCTGACCTCAATAACTGGGAAGATTCTGGAAAAGATAATCAAGCAACGAATCAGTGAACATCTAGAGGCAAACAAAGTCATTACCAAAGACCAACATGGGTTTGTCAAAAACAGATCATGCCAGATAAATCTTATTGCATTCTTTGACCAGGTGGCAAAATTAGTGGACCAGAGGAATGCGGTGGATATAATTTACTTGGACTTTAGTAAGGCATTTGATAAAGTAGACCACAACCTACTACTTAATAAGATAGAAAAATGTAGGTTAGACCAGAGGTCCCCAACCTTTGGGGCATCAGGGACCTGTTACATGGAGAGAGATTTTTCCGCGGACCGGAGGGGTATGGTTTTGTGTGCTGCCTGCATTCTGTGGATAGGGCTTTTCTTGTTTGTGCAGCCCGGGTACTGGCATGCCGCACAGTACCGGTCCACGGATGGGGGCTTGGGGACCCCTGGGTTAGATAGCATCACCACGAGATGGATTCATAGCTGGCTGACCGGCTATGTTGAGTGTGTATCCTCAATAGAATTGCATCTACATGGAGGGAAGTATGTAGTGGGATGCCCCAGGGTTCTGTATGGGCCCAGTGCTCCAACATCTTCATCAATGATTAGGGTGAGGGGATAGATGGGGAACTCATCAATTTTGCAGACAACACCAAGCTGGCAGAAATAGCCAACACTCCAGAAAATAGGTTTAAGATATAATAGGATCTTGACAGACTTGAACATTAGGCGCTAACAAAATGAAATTCAATGATGAAAAAAGTAAGGTTCTACATTTAGGCAAGAAAAAACAAATGCACATGTATAGTATAGGTGGTACTTTGCTCAATAGTGGTGACTGTGAGAGGGATCTTGGAGTCCTAGTGGACAATCGCTTAAATATGAGCCAGCAGTGTGCTGCAGCTGCCAAAAAAGCCAACATAGTGCTAGGCTGCATTAACAGAGAATCAAGATCATGTGAAGTGTTAATACCACTTTACAATGCCTTGGTAAGACCACACTTGGAATACTGCGGTGTTTTGGTCACCACGATGTAAAAAAGATGTTGAGACTCTAGAAAGAGTACAGAGAAGAGCAACAAAGATGATTAGAGGACTGGAGGCTAAAGCATATAAGGAATGGTTGCTGGAATTGGGTATGTCTAGTTTAATGAAGAGAAGGACTAGGTGACATGATAGCAGTATTCCAATATCTCAGGGGTTGCCACAAAGAAGAGGGAGTCAAGCTATTCTCCAAAGCACCTGAAGGCAGGACAAGAAGCAACGGGTGGAAACTAATCAAGGAGAGAAGCAACCTAGAACTAAGAAATTTCCTGACAGTGAGAACAATTAATTAGTGGAACAACCTGCTTCCAGAAGCTGTGAATGCTCCAACCCTGGAAGTTTTTAAGAAGAGACTGGATAGCCATTTGTCTGAAATGGTATAGGGTTTCCTATCTGAGCAGGGGGTTGGACTAGATGACCTCCAAGGTCCCTTCCAACTTTTTAATAGTAGTAGCAGCAGCAGCAGCAGCAACAACAACAACAACAACAATAATAATAAAAACAAAATACTCAAAGGACAGACCATTGAGTATATTTTGCCAAAAGTTTTCTATGATTCTGTGTTTCCAAATTCCTTTTACATATCAGTGAGTTATGGTTTTACCCTAATTGTGCCTCAAAAATTCCTTGTAATGTTGGCCAGTTCTTTAAAACAGAGGTCCCCAATACCCGGCACACAAAACCGTGCCCCCTCCAGTCCACGGAAAAAACACTCTCCATGGAACTGGTCCCTGGTGCCCAACAGGTTGGGGACCTCTGGTCTGGAGGATAGAGAAGGACTAGAGGGTAACATGATAGCTGCCTTCTAGTACTTGATGGGCTGTCACTGAGAAGAGGGGGTTGACTATTCTGCAAAGCACCTGAAGATACGGATTGGACAAGAAGTAAAAAGACCCCAAAGAGGTTTGCTCTATGTGGGTTATTTTATTTAGATTTACTGTATTAGAATTTAAAACTGAGAAATTTTAAAGTGTTTATTTGATTTTCAGACCCCCTAAAAGGGTCTCAGGACTACTCAGTAGTCCCTGGGCCACATTTTGAGAATAGCTGGCATAGGTAAACCCTTTTTGAAAACAGTTATTTGTACGAATTAGTAACTAATCAACCACTAAAGTTTGTTCTCTTATAGCACTGTTTATACCTGGGTAATAAAAACCATCTGAGATTTTCTGGGGCTTTCATGGGTCCGGGGCAGTTGTGGGACTGTTAAATAAATAATACTTTCAAATTAAAGCTATACATATGTATGTAGACATTTTTATTGCTTTATTTATTTATTGCTTTAATATACAGAAAAAAAGATACATAAATGAAGGAAAAAAGACACAGAATACATATTTTAATCAGCTGCATTTAAATCTCATGAAGCTGTACCACTCAAAATAATAATGGTATCTCTTTTCATTACATCAATATAGAACTAGTTTAGGATCGATGAGCAAACACACATCATCAATCCAGGATTCTGCGTAGCACTGTCTTTTGATCATATAAGAACATTATGTTCTAGTGCACTCTACCCTTCATAAATCAGTAGCTCTTCATGTATTGATAAATTAAAAAAAATTGTACATAATTTCAGCTCACTGTTGCATGTGTAAAATATACGGCACTCTTCTCAAAATCATATCAAGCAAACCCAAATTGGACAAATGTGGCATGAATACATATCATCTGCATAAGTGTCTATTCCATTATTTTACACTTACAGCATAATGAAGTTGATAGCTCTTTTTAAAAGGTTTATGACGTATCCAATAAATATGGAAAAGCTGTTACTGAATTAGTCCTATCTTAAGATCATGATATCTTAATATTCTTTAATTATTCATTTGTTAAAACAGGACATTTCAATTCTTGATTCCAATTCTCTGTCTTTAAAAATATTGTACATTTGGAATTATGCATGAGTTCATTTTATATTATTTTAGCAGTAAGGGAAAAATCTTTGCTCAATGCTCTGCATCTTATTACTGTTACTGTTTAGATTTTGTTTCCACTTTTAACTAATCAGAAGGCTTCATTTTGTCACAATGCATGAACTTTGTTTAGTTGTTCAAACAAGCCAGAATCAAGTTAAGGGTTAGGATCTTGGTTTGTTAGTAGACCACAGGTTACAAATTGGTTTTCTTAGCTAAGGTATACACTATACAGTAACAGCTGGTTTAAAAATGGAAGACAAAATTTTTCATCCACTCAGCAGCTATCCCAGACAATGCTAATCTCCGGCTTCTTCCATCAAACAATGTCTGGAGGTGGCTATTTGGCGCTTAATTGAAAGGTCAAACAGACTATGAAAAGCTAATCAGAAATTATAATGTCTTGATAACTGAGAGAGGAAATTATTTCTAATTATGGCATCATGCCATAATATTTCTTTTATTCCCTTCAGCAAGAGATGCTGCGATATAAAGAAGTATGCTATTATATGCTCTTTGCTTTGGCTGCTTATGGCTGGCCCATGTATTTGATGAGGAAGCCTACCTGTGGACTCTGTCGCTTGGCCAGATCCTGCTCGTAAGTATTGATCCAGATTGTTTTAAATGTCTTTTATTATATTATCTCATTTATTTTTGCTCCCAGCTTTAGGATGGAAGCATGTTGGGCCAAGTACCCTTGGCATTTAGAAAATTTGTGCAGACTTGATTTATTTTTTTAGAACTGAAGAACAGAGTTCTGAATTGAGCCAGCATTTAGTTTTTCTCTGTGGCCACAAATATTCCTGATGAGCTCACAAACAGAGAGCATGAATATATCCTTCTCCCACCACTGATCTATTTGGGAGGATGTTGCTCCTACACTAACCCTAACATTAGGTTTTTAAATCACATGCCCTTGATAGCTTGTCCTACATGAATATATCTGATAAAGTCATTCAAATTAATAACCATCATCACATGATTCAGTGGTCAATTATATATTAACTGTTGGCAATTGTTTAGAAATGAATATAAACTGTATTTCATTTGTAACTTTACTAATTTTACTTTGGATCTTACGTATATATCTGAGCAGAAAGAAGGGCTATAAATTAAGTAAATATTCATATCATAATATAAAATCCCTACATAAAATCCCTAAAAGGCCATTGCAAACTATTAGCTTAAAGTTTTGTTTTGCTTTCTGCAATAGAAATCCTTTATCTCATTTTTTTATATATATACACACATGGGGACTCTTGACCTTTAACATATTTTTTTATTAAAGTTTTTATTAAGTAGAAAGGAAAAAAAAGGATTAAAAACATTGAACATGGTAAATCATCTTTGACTGACATCTCAGTCCATATTGTACATTAATTACATATAATATATCTATATACAACTATACATTTCTGGTCTCTATCTCAATTTATCTCTTTACTGTGACCTCCATTTTTTTTCCCTCCATCTATAAAATTTATTCCATATTCAATAAAATCCTGTTTCTTCCTGATTTTTTAATCTTTTAGTTATCCTATCTAGTTCTGCGCAATACATAATTTTCTTTATTAGTGCTTCCCCATTCGGTACTTCCATTGCTTTCCACTTTTGAGCAAATAGTATCCTTGCTGCTGTAACCACATGGATAATTAAATATGTGTCCTCTTTATTTACATTTTTCTCTAGTATTCCTAATAGTAATGTCTCAGGTTTGTATTGAATGTTTTGCCTAGTCATTTCTATTGCCCATTCCCAGACCATACGCCAGTACACCTGTGCTTCTCTACATGACCTTTAACATATTAATAGCTGAGATGAGCATTTGTTTATTCATGTGTTCAGGCTAGAAGTGTTCAAAGGATTAGAAGAAGTTGCCATTAAAGCTGACTTCCGGGATAATGAGAAGAGGATGAGAATTTTGGACAGTTGCAGTCTAATAGTTTTAGAACTTTCTTATGAAACACTAAAGTGGAATTTCATGTAAAAAAACAAGTAGTGTGATTTTTTTTTCTTTTTTCTTTCCATATTATAATGATTTATGCTTTCTTTTTAAAGTTGCTGTTGCCTCTGCACTACTCGGCCCCGTTATGCACCTGGTGTCACCATTGAGGAAGATAATTGCTGTGGCTGCAATGCTATTGCCATTCGGCGCCATTTCCTTGATGAAAACATGACTTCTGTGGACATTGTGTACACTTCATGTCATGATGCGGTAAGGGCTGTATGAGAAATAACCTGTGCTGGAGAACACTGCTAAAGTGTTTCAGAGAACTGTGCTAAGGCAGGAATAGAAAAGCAACTTCCAACCCCTTTATGTAAGAGATCATTTCACAGATTTGATAAGCACTGTTGATTGCTTTTCTGTGATTACTATCATGGAGAGGAAAAAATAGGTGGCAAAAAGTGAAAAAGGAGGTATCAAACAATCTTAAAGTAATCCCATGGCTTTGGCTTTAGCCCCTACCATTGTTTCTTTCAGTCCTATATTCCCTCCCATGTCATCCCCAACAGATATTATCATTGTAAGAATATGCGTTCGACAATAAAAAGACTTTTCCACAGGTAAAATAATGGAGCTGAAACATCTGAATTTTCTTATCAGATGTGAAATTATAAATTCCTGATGGAATTAGCTCAGAAGTTGATTAGGAAAGAAAACGCATAGCATTTAGGTAAGACTAAATAGAAAGAACCAATTTGGTGTAGTGGTTAAGGCATTGGGCTAGAAACTGGGAGACCATGAGTTCTAGTTCCACCTTAGGAATAAAGATAGCTAGATAACCTTGGGTGAGGAAGAAGGCAATGGCAAATCACTTCCAAAACCTTGCCAAGAAAGCTGCAGGAAGTTGTCCAAGCAGTAACCAGGAGTCAGCACTAACTTGAAAGCACCACCACAAACACTAAATATTATAATATACTTTATTACTTTTAGGTTTATGAAACCCCCTTCTACGTGGCTGTAGATCATGAAAAGAAGAAAGTAATCATCAGCATTCGAGGAACTTTATCACCAAAGGTATTTTTTTCCTGTTTACTTCAGTCACTGTGTGCTGTTTCATACTCTAACCCAGTGGTTCTCAACGTGTGGGTCGGGACCCCATTTGGGGTTGAATGACCATTTCATGGGGGTCACCAAACAAGGCTGTCCGCCATTTTTCCCCCCTTTTCTTTGGCCACGCCCCTGGCACCCGGTGGTGTATAAGTGGTTGGGGGTCACCACAACATGGGGAACTGTATTATGGGGTCGCGGCATTAGAAAGGTTGAGAACCACTGCTCTAACCCTAGGAATCGGCTAATGTGCAAGTGCATTAATAAAATTTATAACAATGTCTCAGCCTCAGATTTCATGGAGTCTTTTTTCCTCACCCCAAAGGATGCTTTGACTGATTTGACTGGAGATGCTGAGCGCCTCCCTGTGGAGGGTCATCATGGAACATGGCTTGGACACAAGGTATTTATAGAATGCTTTTGGCTTTAATTGGTTAATATATACTATATCATTTCAAATCATTCTTTTAACATTTCTCTTGACATATATAATTAGAAATTATTTTTAACCCCTGTATGAAAGCCACAGCATCCAATCTGTCAGTACTGAAAGAGGTATAAAAAGCTGCTGAAAGCTTTACTTTCATTCAAATTGGTGTCCTCCCCAAAAACAAGTGGCAGTTAAAGAAACAGAACCTGGTAATAAACCCACAAAGCTGATGGAATATGAAATGCAGTTCTGGGACAGAAGACAATTTTAAAATTCCAGGGAGTGCAGAATATTTTATTATATATATTTTTCAAACAAATTTTATTGGTTTTTTAATTTTTACATCAGAGTGCTCAGGAAAACACCGTGCTGAAGGGGAAATCAGTCATCCAAAAACAAAATCATACATATATAACTGGAGTTAATACATTAAAAATTTCTCTCTCTACTTCCCTTACATAATATAGGGAATTTAGTTTAATCTATTTCTTCATAAAATTCAGTCAGTCCAAATGATCATCATCCCGCTTTAAGCTTCACTAATTTCGATTAACATATTCAAATTCATCTTAAGTAAACATATTAATAAGACTTTGGGTATCCCTTCTACAACACACATAGTGTTCCAACAATAACATTCTAATATTTTCACATATATTCCATTTCTTAATTTAATAGATCATTGGTTAATACCCTTTCTTCTCTTATCGTAAATCTCTCTAGTTCTTCTATTACAAAGTAATTTTCTATATAAACAGAATAAAAAATAAAGAGACATTTCAACCCATTAAATGACATTTAAATCTCAACCAAAATAGTTATCATGTCTAAGACAAACATATCATTACACAAATTATCATCTTACTAATTTCGCATACTCAGTTAATTGTCAAATCAGTCCAAATCTCTAAAGCCTTTTTGACCCAATAAGTGAAAATTTAAGTCACATTTTTAAATCTAACTCTGGCTTTTTTTCTTTGCCAAGCTGGTGTCCATGATGCCACATCTATGTCATCAAAACTCCATAGTTGAGTACTGGTATTTCTGGTCAAATTTCTCCTCCCCATCTTCCAATATCATGTAGGTAATATAGTCAATTTTGTTCCATATTATGATTACAGCTTGAATATCCAAGTTGTCATAACTTTCAATAGATCGCATCTGGAAGTCAGTTCCTGTTGGTTTTAAAAGTAAGAGTATTTCAGTTGAAGACATTCTGTGATCTTCAGAGTTCTCCATAGTTTGTACATAAACTTGTGAGATATCCTCTTCTGTAGTAATTAGTTGACTTGTAGCGTGGTCGATTAAAGTCTCAGTCTGGGATTTTGGGTCCAAAGTTTTTCTACGATTCAATTGGTCAATAGGTTCTTTTTCCATCTCGTTAAATTGTGTACACTGTTGTATATCAGCTTCTTCTGGGCTTATAAGTTGATCTTTTAAAATTTGAGGCTCAGCTTGTGGTTCTGCAAAATGATCTTTAATTTTTCTCCATGATTTCACATACTCTGTAGCTTCCAATATTTTTTCCAGTATAAGCTCATAGTCAAGCTGTGGGTAAAATTCTTCCATTTCCATAATAAAATAGTCTTTTAGTCTTTTAGTAAAAGCTATATTTATTTAAAGTCAATAAATGTCTGCCTTCACAGTTTCTAAATCACAAAGTCAACCCACAGCTATTTCCAAGCCTTTATCTTCTTTTATTATTATTTAAAGATCAAATCCATCTTCAAACACCTAAGAACATTACAATTGCAGTAACACTTTTCGCCACAAGATGTCCTCAGTGAGCTTAGAAACTTTTTTATTACCAAGTTAAAAGCTTTTATCTCATTTTGAGAGCGAGGAAGAAAGAGGCAGAAAGAAGCAAGTATCTCCAATATAGTAAGTAGAATAATGCTCTATAATACAAGTTTTTCCAGGGGTCCCAAATATCCAAAAAATTAAAAGTCCAGTAAATGCTGTTCTGTAATTTTATTCCAAATTTTCCCCCAAATAGACGAACGCTGCTTTCTTAGGATAGGGAAGTCATCCAAAGGCTCTTTGCAGAAAAAATAGTTGGGGGTAAGAGGGGGAAAAAAAAGTCTCACCCAGATTTCTCCGCGGTGGTTTCTTCATGCTTAGTTGTTCTTTTGACTTCGGCTGGTGCAGCTAAATGATCGGCCATGTTGCAGGACGATCTTTACTCCGACGGCCCTAAGGAGTCAGCTGGGGCCATAGGCGAGGCTGCCACCTTCCTGCAGTCACCAGCCAGCCTCCTCCTCGGTGGTCGCCCCTCCAGGGCGACTTTCAACCCCCTTCGGGGTCTACCGGCGAAGGAAAAATGGCCAGTGAAGAGACGAGTCTTTTCATACGACCGCAGTTGCCGCAAAACCGAAACCGGAAGTCCGAATATTTTATTATATATTGATAACGCTTAATAATTAGAGATATCTTCATTATTTTGGATTATGGAAAATGAACATGTAGGTTATATTGCCAATCAAAGTTTCCTTTGTTTGAATACATTTTGAAACACGTAGTAAATATTGAATTTAGTGAGTCTATATGTTGAACAAATATGGTAAGAACAGAATTTATAAAAGCATTTATGACACCACGATGCCAAATATGTCACTGTACATCATCTGAAGATGCATCTCGTGAAAACCTACCTGTCCATTACTCTGTTTGCTTTTGGAGCAAGCCTTATTGCATTAAAAGAGTAAGAAAAAAATTCTAACAGCCTGAGATACGAAAAGCAAACATATATACAATTAGTTTACAAATAACAAAATGTTTGACAGTGTTATGGTGCAAGTGTAAGTCAGGAGCTGCTTTTTTTTTCCTCTGGATGATTTATGGTGGATCAGCAAGAATAAAGTTTTTCCCCATCTTAAATGACAGTGTTGAAAGCAAGGAGACGGATTCCAAAAATGGATTTTGAATAGAAGGGCTTTGAGTTTCATTGACTTCAAATATTTTGACATCATTCAGATTTAAAAAAAAAAAAAAATCTAGGAATCTGCAGCTGCCATAGGTTACCAGTATCCATAACCAGGTTCTTTTAAAAAATAATACAGATTTTGCAAATCTGCTGACCTCTGCTTCATAGTCAGTAAATCTGAAAGGATTATGTATAAGCAATTACAAATCACCATTTCAAGTGACATCTGCTGAATGCACTCACACAAATCTTAAATTACTTTTTTCCATCTTTGGAATTTGACTTTCTTATGCCAGCCAGTGCATTCCTATGTCTTGATAATTGATTCCATCTGGTAAGTGTATTCTATTATAGCTTTCTCCAGCCCTCCTCCTTATTCTGTGGAAAGCCTTGCTATCACCACATAATCCTTTTGAAGGATACAAATGGATTTATATTTTTTAAAATGAGTTGCCATTTTATAGATGCGAAAAGTAGCATTTATCATCTGAATTATAATAGCTGTCAATTCATATATCAGAGTATAGCCATTCTTTCTTACTGGTAATTCTTCCCATTATTAACAGACAGCTTTTAAGTTAACTACCTAACTTCCAGTTTTAAATACCATTCCTAATATTCTTAAGTTACACTGAAAATAAATGACTCAATATATTTTATTTATTTATTAAATGTTTGCTGCCTATATGACAGGCTAGGCTTTGGGTTGGAACTGGAACTATTTCATTAATCTCTCTGTTTCCTTTAGAACAGGGGTTCTCAACCTTGGCAACTTTAAGACTTGTGGACGTCAACTCCCAGAAGTCCACAAGTCTTAAAGTTGCCAAGGTTGAGAACCCCTGCTTTAGAAATGTCCCAGGTTCTTTTCCCATTGATTCAAACTATGGGGAAGTCCAAGAAATCTGATTTCCCTTATTCAAACTAGCATGAGCTAACTAAGCTTTAGAAGTGGTGCTCAATGTGACATGTCTCTTTAATCCCTTATCAGCACTGGATTTCCCATTTTTCTGAAAAAAGAGTCACATTGCCTCAGTCACTTGAATTAATGCCTAATTTTTAAAATGCTGGTGCAGACTTAGCTTTGTTAAAATTCAAATTTTCTGTTTTCTTTGTTGTTTCTTTTTAGGGTATGGTGCTATCTGCTGAGTATATAAAAAAGAAACTGGAACAGGAAATGGTGTTGTCTCAGGCTTTTGGGCGTGATTTAGTAAGTTTTTGTTTTACTGTAATATGTTCATAAAGTGGAATCATACCTCCATGTTTTGCTATTAACTATTGAATACTATGTCCAAATTGTTTGAAATATTGTTACAATTTAAAAATATCCCGCAGACTTTCCACTACTCTAAAAAACAATTCCTTGAAAGAATTATTTTTAAAAATTCATTTAAAAACCATTTATGATTTTTAAAATATTGCTGAAATTAATTTCATTAAACACACCTTATTAAATTAATTAATTGAAACTAAAAAAATTGATGAAAAGGTCCCTTATTTTATTTTATTTTATTTTATTTTAATTTTTATTCATAATACAATTAAAACAACAATGGACAAACATGGCATTCCAGAGTGAATTTTCCTATCAGTTCCTATCATAGTACAAAAGTTTAATACATTGTTCTTAACCTCTATATAAGCCTCGTCTTCTATACAATACAATTATATATACAATTATATGTACAGTTATGTATATCTTTTAATTCTACCATTAACTTGAAGTCCGAGCAGTTCTTAATTCATACCAACGGTAAAATTTGCCCCAGATTTCGAAGTATTCGTGTTCTGTTTTGTCTTTCATAATCATTGTAAGCCTGTCCATCTCAGCACATGATAGAATTTTATGCAGGATCTCTTCTTCCGTTGGAGTTCCCTTATTCCTCCAATTTTGAGCAAAAACCAGCCTGGAAGCCGTTAAAATGTGTAGCATTAAATAAAGTACGCCTTTGTCATGCTTTTGCGTAGTTAAACCTAATAGAAAGAGTTCTGGTTTTAGTTCTACCGCTTGCTCTAATATTTCTTCCAGCCATATTTTAATCCTGTTCCAAAAATCACAAGCTCGCGTGCATTCCCACCACATATGATAGTAAGTTCCACTTTTCAAATTACATTTCCAACATTTAGGGGAAACATTGGTATACATTTTAGACAATCTTGTGGGTGGGAGATGCCATCTATAAAACATTTTGTAAAGGTTCTCTTCGTAAGAGGTGGCCAAAGTAAGCTTCTTGTTTCTTGCCCATAGTTCTTGCCATATGTGCAGATCAAAATTAAGACCAAAGTCCTTGCTCCAATTCAACATAGTCACTTTTACTTGTTCCTCGTACATTGCCTGATCTAGCAAATAGTAGTATAATTTTTTAATCATTTTATCCTCCGACCCCAAAATTATTTTATCCAATTCTATTGGTTCTAATTTAATGCCTAACTCTTTATCTCGCCTACAGTTGCAGGTATGCCCACCATTTTAATTCTATCCCTTCATCGTGGATGGTTTTCCTGGATTTCAATTCCCCTCTTTCATCTAAGATGTTTTTATATGTTATGGTCTTGTCTAATTGAGTAAATTTTGGGTGTACATATATTTCTAACGGTGAGATCCAACTAGGTACTTGGGTATAATTTGGTTGCCAAATTTTTGTCCATACATCAATAAGAGCTTGCCTAATATAGTGACTTCGAAAATATTTATGTACTTTATATTTATGATCCCATAATATGGCGTGCCATCCTATTTCTAGGTCATGGCCCTCCAGACATAATAGTCTCCTGTTCTTTAGTAATATCCAATCTCTTACCCATACTAATGCTGCGGCCTGGTAATATTTCTCCAAGTCTGGAAGACCAAATCCCCCCCTTTCCTTTGAGTCCTGCAGTAATTTTAATTTAATCCTTGCTCTTTTTCCTTGCCAGATGAATTTACACATCATTTTATTCAAATTTGAAAAAATTTCTTGTCTAATTTTATAGGTATACATTGGAACAAAAATAAGATTTTTGGCAACACATTCATTTTAATCACCGCAATTCTACCCATAAAAGAGAGCTGTAGGTTAGTCCAAATATCAAAAATTTTTTGAATCTGTTCTATTAACTTATCGTAGTTATCCCTTTTAAGCGTAGCGCATTTGGCAGTCAGTTGTATCCCTAAATATCTAATTTTATTTGTGGTTTGAACACCAATTCTGTCAACCAATTCATTTTTCTGTATTTTAGTCATATTTTTGACAAGCATTTTAGTTTTTTCTTTATTTATCTTTAAACCTGCTATTTCCCCGTATCTATTCAATGTTTCCATCAGTCTAGTCCCTGATTGTAGTGGTTCTTCAATTATAAAAACTAAATCATCTGCAAAGGCTTGTATTTTAAATGTCTCTTTCTTGATTTCTAAACCTTGGATCTGTTCATCTTGCCGGATTGCTCTAGTTAATACCTCAAGAGATAATATAAATAACAATGGTGATAGTGGGCAACCTTGCCTCGTGCCTTTTTGAATTTGGAAACTCTTCGGTCAATTCTCCATTAATTATTACTTTGGCCACCTGCGTAGAATAAACTGATTTAAACATATTTAAAAAATTTTCCCCGAAGTCCATATACAGTAATTGGTTAAACATAAAATCCCATTTTACATTGTCAAATGCTTTTTGTGCATCAAGAAAAATTAAACACATTTGCTTTTCATTATGTACTTCATAATATTCCAATATGTCCAAAACAGTCCTAATATTGTTTCTTATATATCTTTTAGATAGAAAGACGTTTTGATCAGTATGTATAAAATCCACTAAAAACCTTTCAAATCTTTGTGCCATTATTGCCATGAAAATCTTGTAATCCGAATTTAAAAGAGAAATGGGTCTATAGTTCTTAATTTGCATCAGGTCTGTGTTTTCTTTAGGAATCAAAGTGAGGAAGGCTTCTTCCCATGTAGCTGGTATTTTAGCTTGGGTTAAAACCTCATTAAATAAGTCCAACAGCATTGGAGTTAAAGATTCTTGTGCAATTTTATACATTTCTGCAGGTATACCATCTGGCCCAGGTGCTTTATTATTCTTCTGTTTCTTAATTGCAACCGAGAGCTCTAAATGTGTTATCTCTTTATTTAGAAGAGTTTTAAATTCTTCTGGCACCTTGGGTAAATTGACTAATTGTAAATACTGTACTATGTCATAGTTATTTCTCTTATGAAAAGGTCCCTTATTACAGATGCTAAAATTAAAGCAAAATGTATTCATCACTTATTAAAATGTTAGTAATTAAGAAGCCCAAACAATGTGTTTTCTCATTCATCTTACTATACTGTTAAGAATATGAGAAAGTGATCAATTGCTTGCAAGTGCCTCCCAAGCTTTTTTGCATTTGCTATTAGAAAACATTTACCACTAAAATTCAAAGACATCATCTGAAAACAAGAGTTTTTCCCTGTATAAAGCTGAGTGGTAGTTATTGAAAAGATCATTTTAATTCAAAGTAATGAATAAATTATTATTTAAGTTAATTTAAATTTAATTAAATTGAAGTTCAGAAAGATTTGGAATTGATTTATTTATGTATTTTAAAGAAACAACTATGAGAAATTGTAGCAAATTTGTTAGAAGATTATGGATTATGTTTGCTAAGATTAAGAAGTCTTATTTGTAAATGTTTTGGAAGTTTCTCATTGGCTATTGTAGGAAGCTATGTATTTGTTTTATTTGGTTTTCTGTTTAATTTAAAAAATATCAATCTGAGTGCCACTTTTTTTCTTTGGTTCCCCACTTTTTTATTCTTTAAATATTACATTGCAATTTATTACTATGAGAATGGCAAGTTTTAAGAAAAATGCTTGTTTCAATGCTAATTAAAACATACATTTTACAATGTGGTTTGAGAGAAATAGTTTAAAAAAAATGGCAGGTAACTGCATAAATAGATGGAAATGCCTTAATTTTTCAAATATCTAACAGGCTTTTGTTTTGTAGGGCAGAGGAACAAAACATTATGGCCTAATTGTAGTGGGACATTCCTTAGGAGCAGGCACTGCAGCCATTTTGTCCTTTCTACTACGTCCACAGTATCCAACTCTAAAGTGCTTTGCTTATTCTCCACCAGGTGGGCTTTTAAGGTAGGTATCTACAGTATATTTAGAAAGTAAGAGAATAAGGGATTCTAAAGTATGAGCTACAACTGCCAAAAAGAGACAGTGCACTCCTAGGATGCATCAGCAGAGGGATAGCAACAAGATCACAAAAAAGTGATCTCATCAAACTTTGGCAACATAATTTCAAGCTTTTATTTAATTTTTAGGATAGATACTGACTTTTTAAAAACCCCTGTTAGTGGAAGGATTTTTATGCTACATATCAATTACTTCATTAGGTACTATCATATCCTCAATGATCCGGATTCAGCAACTTATCTCTGATGTTAATCCTCAGCTCTTCCAAAGTCATTGTAGCAGAATTCTCTCTCTCTCTCTCTCTCTCTCTTTTTTTTGTAAAAAAATTTTATTTTCGATTTTTCATTACATTCATAAAGAGTACTTCAGATAAAGAATAGAATAAATTTATACACACAACTTTCGGTATTGCTCACCCATTTCCTCCCAAACTGCATCCACCCTCTAACCTCTTCTCTCACTTCCCTCTTTTCCTCTTCTTCCTCAATCTCCCCCTTTCCTCCTCTCCTCAACCTTCCTACTTACTTCTCCCCTTCCTCCTATCTTCTCACCCCGGATGCAGTCCAGGGGAAATGCCCGAGCAATTCCTCTCTCCAAATTGAAACATCAATATTATATACAATAAAACTATTTCTACTTATCTGACCTATTTAACCTCCAACCCATCCTCCCCCATCCCCCTCCCCCCACCCCGACTTCCCAGAGCCGAGTACAGGGTTATACAAACATATTAAACATAATCTACTTAAGTTTACTAATTATACAATAATCAAAATCATACTAACCCTTAACTGTCTTCAAACTTTAACATCATAATTTTATAAACAAATCCATTACTCATAAAATAAATGAAACTTTGTAGTTCCATATTTCTTCTGAACATATTCTATCCATCTTCTCCATACAATAACATATCTCTCTTGTGAATGATCCTTTAAATAAGCAGAAATTTTAGCCATTTCTGCTAAATTAGAAACCTTAAATACCCATTCTTCTAAAGAAGGCAGAGAGTCTTTCTTCCAATATTGACCCACCAATAATCTTGCTGCTGTTATTAAATTCAACATTAAAATAGTTTCTTTAGCATCAAAATCCACAAAAATACCCAAAAGAAATAATTGGGGAGTAAACTTAATCTTCCTTTTAAAAACCTTTTGAATGTTCCACCAAATCATAATCCAAAAGGCTTTAATATTTTTACAGGTCCACCAAACGTGAAAATAAGTTGCATCAAAGCTACCACATCTCCAACATTTAGGTTGCAGGTTCGGGTACATACAAGACAACTTTTTAGGATCCAGATGCCATCTATAAAACATTTTATAAAAAATTTCCCTCAGATTTTGAGCCTGCGTAAATTTAACATTTCTAATCCAAATTAACTCCCATAAATCCAATAAATCGGTTCCTGAATATTCTGAGCCCATTTAATCATATAATCTTTTACTAACTCTGTTTCCGAATCCAATTTTATTCTCATTGTAAATTCTTTTAATATGAGCATATTTCTGATCTTTAATCTGAATTACCAAATTTTTATCTGCTAAAGTGATTCCCACTTTCTTATCTAAGGTCCACCTCTCCACTATTTGCAAATATTGAAACCATGATTGTAAAATATTTTCTTGCCTTAACAAATCTGAAGACTTTAGTTGCCAATCAGTACCTGACCAAATAAGTAATTCTTTATACAAAATATTATCAAAATTCACCCCCGTAGAAACCCCCTGAATTGCTTGTCCAGGAATCCCCCAAATAGGTATTTTATAATTTAACTTATAATAATACTTCTTCCAGACTCGAAGTAAAGCATTTCTTAAAATATGTGACTTAAAAACCAGATCTACTTTCTTATCAAAAATTAAATATGCATGCCAGCCATATAATAAATCCCAACCTTCAAGAGTAAGAATATTTTTATTTGTTAAATTAAGCCAATCGCTTACTAAAGTTAAAATGGCCGCATCATAATATAATTTCAAATTAGGTGCTTTAAGTCCACCTCTTTCTCGAGTGTCTTGTAAAATCTTAAACTTTACCCTTGATTTCTTCCCACCCCAGATAAATTTATTGATACCCTTCTGCCACTCATCCAAATTAGCATCCTTTTTTAAAATAGGTATCATCTGAAACAAAAAAAGAAACTTTGGTAGAACATTCATCTTTACTACTGAAATTCTCCCCAGCAACGATAGTTGTAATTTTTGCCAATCATAAATCTTTTTGTACTTTTACCCATAAGTGTAGCAGAATTCTCTTTGATTCTGTTCATTCACCTTATCCATTATCTTCCATTTCTATTTGCCACAACCTTGCCAAGTACAGTTGATTTTTCTCGTCCATCATGAGGTTGTATCATAAGCTAGTTAATGTGTCATACCTACCTCTGGTTAAATCCTAAGATGAAGAGAAAGATCTTTCGCTGGAACATGCCCCAGAACAAATAGACCAGGCACAGCCACCAGATGAAACTGAGATCGGATCATCAGTCCTCCTGAAAATTGGAATTAGCGGGGAAGAGGCAGGGGGTTGGACTAGAAGACCTCCAAGTTCCTTTCCAATTCTGTTATTCTGCCCTTTCCCCTCCAGCCTAAGAAAGTCCAGCCCCCAAGAGTAAAGGAGATATATATACATTTTGCAGATTGTGAGATGGTATTATAGTGGATGTCTTCTGGAATACCAAACCACATAACATTAAGTGAACCCTGACCCTATTGGGCATTTTGAAAGCTTTTAAGACCTGATTCTTTTCCCAATTAGGTGAGCCCAGATAGGTTTGTTGCTGGTTTTCTTGGTTGCCAATTAATCCTTGTCTTTGCTGATTGTTTGGTCCTATAGTTTAAAATTTTATTAACCACTAAGAATTGAATTTGAGAGATGCATTGCCATATAAATTGGTTAAAAAACCAAACGTTCTTAAGCAGTTAGCAAAACTACACTCAGAGCAGATGGCCCATACTACACAATTTAAATCTCTGCCTGGCGGTCTTTCTGTGATTTCAGCAACTGTAGATTAAGCTTCAATTACTTGTGATCAATCTTTGTTGTGATATGCTAATTTTCCAACTACTAGCTTTGCTTACATTTCAGATTCTCTCTCTTGACTCTGAGTGTCTAACAGTAATGTATGACCTGAATATAAACCAGAGTATGATCATCACCTTAACAGAACATAATCATTGATGGATTCTTTTTGCTGTCCAGAATATCCATACTAATGCTCTCCAGAGTCATCATTCAAAGATGTCAATCTTGTTCTTATTCTTCCAATGCTTTAAATATTCTCTTTAGATGGGGGGGGGGAGGGGAGAAATCACCAAAATAGAACTATTCTTGATTTTTTTTCTTAAGTTTATCCATATCTTCTTCCCTGGGAGTAATCTCTTCTTTATTTTCTTTACAATCCAATTTTATTTTTGAGCCCAAGACAATTAAAATTCTGTATGCCCACTTTGAATTCTTGTTTGCATTACATTTGTGTTCTTAATATTTAATGTTATACCTTATTTTTCTTTTTTCATTTTCCATTTTTACTTTCATAATTAGGTCTTTCAGCTGTTCACTTTCATCCCAATGTATTAGGTTTGATCCTCCAATTTTGAATTCATCTGTCATCTCTTCCAGACTTGCTATACAAGTTAAATAGTATGGGAACACAATAAAACCTTGTCTTCCTCCATTTTGAAACACAGTTTTCCAAACTGTGTGGTTGCAATAATTTTTTATTCTTTATAAAGATTCCTTTATCTTTATAAAGAATAACCAGATGTTGTGGCATACAGGCTACTCCTTAGTACAACTCACAATTTGGCATGATATAAATAATGAAGCAAAATAAACATCTTTCATTTATTTTCTTACTCTGTCCCTTATTTTTTTATGTTAGCTGTTGATCTTATATTCCCTATCTTTTTAAAAAACCTTCCTATTCTTTTGGTATTTCTCTTTTTATACCTTGCACTAGTCTTCTCTGTAAGATCTTAAGCAAAACTTTGCTTGTGTGAAGAATTAGTTCCGGGGATTTGGTAATATGTGGATCCTCTTGCGTTTCCCTTTTTTTGGGGGGGGGAGTACATTGATCTTCTCCAATCTTTATTTCTCTTACATTTGTTATCATAGAACTGTTAGAACTTTAATTGCTTCCTTTACAATATTAAATGATTCAGCCAATGTTTCAACTATGTCTTGGTACTTTTCTGTTTATCAGCCAGTCTAATGCCTTTGGTAGCTAATTTTTTTTTTATGGAATTGGTTCCTGAATATATATTCTCTCTATATAAATCTTCTGTCACACTAAAATCCTATGTGTAAAGTATTTCAACATTGAATTTCCATTTTCCTGTAACCTCCTATGTTTCTATTAGATCTCTTTTGTGATTTCTAGTAGGTATTCCTATCTTAGTGTAGATTTCTGTATACTGGCGAACAGTTGATCTACTGGGATTCCCAGGAGAAAACTTTATGAATAAAATTAATTCTCTGCAAATTGCTTTTCTCTTGATATAGAAGTACATTATCAATAATACAAACCTGGAGCATTACTACCACTGTTACTACCACTGTTACTACTACTACTACTACTACTACTACTACTACTACTATTATTATTATTATTATTATTATTGATTTCATCTTCAATTTGATTCACAGTCTGGGACTGGTAAAAACTTAACAGTTCAAGTCCTAATCAAGGATTTAAGAGCTGTTAAGGTAACATCTGAATATATAGGCAGTTTTGGGTAAGGTGGGTTTTTTTTAAAAAAATAAGAATATTCAGGTCTAATAAGTTTAAAATTCCCATGTATCTAGATAACCCTTTGGGTGTTACTCCAAGGACTCACTATTAGTACAACCATTGATTTCTTCCTCCACAATCGCACAACTTCAGTTTGCAAATCATGATATTTCATTATTTTTTCTAGTTCTTCAGTTCATGCATCACCTGGTATTGCAATATCAGTGAACCAGAATTTTTTTCCCCCACAATAGTAATGTCAAATATGTTGTGGGCCAGATATTTGTCTGTTTGAATCCGAAAGTTCCACAGGATCTTGACCTGTTCATTTTCAAGAACTTTGTCAGCTTGGTATTCTCAGTTATTTTTACTGCATTCAAACCTAAACTTCTGCAAAGCTTCCAATTATTATTATTATTATTATTATTATTATTATTATTATTATTATTATTATTATTATTATTATTATTATTATCAGCATCAGCATCATCTGCATTATCTGCATCATCTGGCATTGTAACAGTAGCCAGGAGACCACAATGCTATTGCAGAGTAGTAGTTTGGCTGCCAATTTAACAGCTCTGTTGTAGGATACGCTCATGTGCCTCCCAAGGTCCACCACAAGAGGGCAAACTGGTTTAGCACCTGAAAGAAAGACGAGTGGCTTTTCCTGCAGCAGCATCCTAGGTTCCCTTCCTTTCCTGGAGCTGGGTCGTAAATGGGCACCACAACCACAACTGTTAGGTGTACAGAAGTTAAGGCAAGTGACGAGAGCTTACCCTGCTACACAGTGCTAGGACTCAAACCGCTAGAGCAGAGACTTCATTAAGCCATTGAGCCACCATGCCTCTTGATCTGGAGCATTAATTTCTTACTTGTTATATTTACTTTTTTTTTTTTACATAGTTAAATATTGGCACCATTTTCTTGTATCCTTTTCTTACAGCGAGGATGCTATGGAGTACTCCAAAGAATTTGTGACTGCAGTTGTGCTAGGCAAAGACCTAGTTCCCAGGCAAGTCAGTTAATTTAGAATTCTTTATTTCGTTTTTCTTCTATTTATACTAAGCTATAATGCCTGTCTCAATTCCAGTTAATATCAGTTTCATTCTCCCACTTAACAGCCATTCATATACTTCTTCCTTGACATTTTTTCCAGCTATCTACCCATTTTATTGTATCTTTTCCATAAACAGATACTCTACTGTAAGGTATCACATACTGGTGTATTGACATAACCCTTCCTAACCTCTCAGCTGCCTCTATTACTGAAAAGGGTGAAATATGCACAAATATGTACCACCTCCTTAGTTATTTATGCTGTCATTTATACATTTGTACTTTCTCCCAGGTCACTTCTCCTGAGCCATCTTACACCTGTGAATTATCTCCTGGCTATATCTTCCGTGCCATCTCCCATCTATGCACTTTATCTTGATCTCTGAGTGTTGTCATCTTCCTTCTGTCTAGCGTCTTTGTATTATGTGAGCTGTGTCATCTTATCGTTGTGTACAGTTTATTATTTTATGTATATTATCATTTGTTGCTTACCTGAATGTTATTTCATTTCAGATGTGTGCATTGTTATTTGCTATTTTTTAGTTTCCTTGTCACTGTAGCTAGAATGCAGTTATGAATCTTTGCCCAGTATTCTTTTTATTCACAGAAGCAATCATTCTCAAGTAGTTATATTAGGAATGTTGACAGCTAAAGACAATGAGTGATGGTGAGCAAGCAACTTCACTATAATGGAAATTGTAGTGAAGACGAGATAGACTCTGTGCAAAGGGGAACTTATACTGCAAATCCTCCCGGCAAAAAATTGGCAAACACCACATTGCTATTTTTGACTCTTATAAAAAATCCAGGATATTGGAAGGGATGAATGGCTACAGAAAAGAAGATTCAATTGACTTTCAGTAATAATCACATTTAATATATTTCATTTTCCCAATAGAGGCAGAAATACTAATACCTGTCATTTATTTGTATAACATATGATATCTGTGAATGAAAACTACTGAAGCATATTTTCATAATCTCATAAAGGAAAATGTGGTATGAATAGTGATCTGTTTCATTTTCTTGCTTAGTTCACCTATAATGTGAGCTCTAAAACATCACTCATGTCCTAGATATAGTAACTCTTCCTGCACATATTTGGTCATCTGTATGTTTTTGGATTCCTACTATTAGAATAGTAAGCACATGTTATTTGCTAAGCCCTTGAACTCTTGTTTGGTTATAAGTAACGTACAGTATTTAAATAGAGCTATCTTATGGATAATGGATGAACTCCATTATATTTGCCCTTATATTATGTCATGGGTAAGTTATATCTGATTAAATCTCTCTTTGCTTTTCTATTTATGATTCTCATAATAGTTAAACCTGCATCATTGCATCTGATATTCTTTATCATTCAGGATTGGTCTTTCACAATTGGAAGGATTTCGCCGACAACTTCTTGATGTTTTGCAGAGAAGTAATAAACCAAAGGTAAAAAGTTTTCAAATCTATTTGAAATGAAAGTAATTGTATTAATCAGTTTTTTAATCAATGACTGAAGCATGGAACTTTATTCTCCACCTAAATTACAAGAATCTCCCCAGACTTGCTTGCCTTTCCCTGGAAACAACTAGATAAGGCTTTGTGGCTATTGGGGGCAGACAGGTTTATGCCTTTTGTGGCTACTCAAAAGCTAAGCCCATGCTTGACGTCCCCACTTCCAGCCTAACTGGCAGTTTCCCAGCAATGATGTATTTTTGATATTGGCTGGTAAGAGAACCTCACACTTTGGGTCCAACTGTAGAATTGTAATTGTAATCCATAAATTGTTTTCATGTTAAATTATCAGACCATTTTAAAAAATACAGAGTTGATACTGCTTTCATTTTTATTTATTCATTCATTCATTTATTAAATTTACAACTTTGGGCAGTGTAAGATGTACGACAATTTAAAACTGTACAATACTACATACTCCTATAGCTTAATCTGTCATTCTTCTAAAGAAGTTTATGTGCAAGTTCAAGTGAGAATATAAAGTCTCCTAGCAGCTGTAACCATGTGCAAAGCCAACTTTATATACTTTATAGGAATATGTAATAATTAATTAACAGAAGTACAGTTACTTAACAGGAAACAGTTGGGAAAGAAAAAAAATGATATTTAAAAAGTTTTCATTCTATGACAAATCATCTTCCAGAATTACAGAGTTTGATGACATTGCCAAGTATGAAAAAATGATTTAACCTAATTATTGTATTTATTTATGAATTATTTATTTTGACAATCAACAATGGAGTAATATACTATGAGAAACATACTATATCAATTTTCTCTAAACATGTATAGTACATTTCACATTTATTTTCCATTGTATTCCTATTGTTGCTTTTCTAGTTTTAAAAAAAATAGAATTCTTAACAGGACCTATTCTCAAACTGATACATTATTCAAAGTTGTGTTCCTTGCATAGTATTTCAGTTGTATTAATATATCATTGGGGGAAGATAGTTTACCATTAAACCTGCTTAAGTGTCAGGATGATTTTTAAAGGTTAAGGAAGTAAAGAGTATATATATACACATCTTAGCATATTGTTGTACTATCTACATATGTATTTATCTATTTATTAGATATACATCCTGCTTTTTCCCAGGAGTTCACAAAAGTCTACATAGCACCCCCTCTTCCAGTATTTTCCACAACAACCCTGAGATTACATTGGACAGAGAGAAAGTGACTGGCCCAAAATTATCTAGTGACTTCTGTGATTAAGAATGGACTTGAACCTGGGTCTCTTCAATCCTTATCCATTATTTTAACTACCATAGCACAGTTTTGCTAGAATAAATCAATAAATATAGATGCAAGAGTAACAGAATGTCTGAATTACACAAAATGGTGTTGCAGCTGTAGTATACTGTATTGATGGATTTCTGCTATTCTGTTGATTGACATATTCTAGTTGAATAAAAGTACACAATGTTAAATCTAAGTCAGTGTTTCTCAACCTTGACAATTTTAAGGCATGTGGACTTCAACTCCCAGAATTCCACAGCCAGCAATGGCTGTGGAATTCTGGGAGTTGAAGTCCACATGCCTTAAAATTGTCAAGGTTGAGAAACACTGATCTAAGTGGACAAAAATGTTCAGTCTACCAAGCTGTGGCTTCTGACACACACACACACACACACACACACACACACACAAGAAACTTTAAAGGTTAAAACCATGAGAAAAGGTATGACTGCTGTTTTCTTTCATATAGTAGCTTTTAATAGTGGCTACTCCTTCATTCCTTTTTTTTTTTTTTTTTGGATAGTGGAGAATCATAGTTGGTGCAACCAAATGCATACCCAAGTCTGAGCTCCCTGAAGAGCTTGAAGGGAACTCAATAACCAGTAACCGCCTCTGGGCACATCCTAGTGACTTAACTATTGCCCTGTCAGCCAGCACACCTCTCTACCCTCCAGGACACATTATCCATGTGGTTCATAATCATCCTGTTGAACAGTGCTGGTAAGTGGGAGAATATTGAGAATATCGCAATTTTTTTAGGAAGAAAAATATAGGTCTGCGGTATATGTTGTTATTATTACTTCCCAGGGAATTGTGATTTTGTTTTACCTATTCTTCACACATACAGCAAAATTAAATAACTATCCCTCCTCTTCTCCCACCCCAAACATAACCAAAAAATGTAAAGCTAGAGCAGTGGTTCTCAACCTGTGGGTCGGGAGCCCATTTGGGGTCGAAAGACCATTTCACGGGGGTCGCCAAACAACGCAGTCCGCCATTTTTTTCCCCTTTTCCTTAGCTGTGCCACTCCCTTTTATTCTATTGGCTTTTGAAAGCCAATAGAATAGACTCTCTTGAATAGAGTCTAATTCTATTGGCTTTCAAAAGCCAATAGGAATTGTCCAGGCTGTCTCTGCCCTGCTGAGCCCGCCAAAAGTCCCATTCTGCAAATGGTGCTGCACCAGTTGAGTAGTCCTCGACTTACGACCGGTTGAGTAGTCCTCGACTTACGACCAGTTGGGGTCACAGCATTAAAAAGGTTGAGAACCACTGAGCTAGAGAAAGACAGCACCCATCCAAATTGTTTAAACAAAGGCAATTCACTATCTATTCATCCTACAAAGCACTTGAGTTATCTGCTTTATTAGTTGAAAGATAAGCTACAAAGTTGAATTTCTGAATCAGATGTAATTATAGTTCAGCTAGAACTACAATTTGGACATGTCTCTGATGCTTTTTCATTAGTATTTTTAGCTTTGCAGTACAGTTATGCTTAATGTCTACTGACAATCATGTGTCTGAGGAAATGCATTGTATAACATTGGTATGTATTTACACAATAAAATGCAGTGTTATGCGATGAAATAGTTTATTAATCATCCTGGTTCTTGAATAAAAAAGTTATGTAAGGAAAATGCTGTAGTTACAAGGCACAAGATTTGAATGAATTCTTTCTGTTTACTCTGCTTGTATCACAGGGTAGCCTCATAAAGTGGTAAAGTAATTAGACATGATGGTTAATGACTGCCTCATCTGATATCTTTTATAGTTTCTGTGATCAGGAAGAACCTACATACTTTGCCATTTGGGGAGACAACAAGGCATTTAATGAAGTGATAATTTCTCCAGCAATGCTGCATGAACATCTGCCCTATGTAGTAATGGAGGGTCTTAACAAGGTAATAATCATTCAATGGTTTTGGGATTGAATGATGAGTAAACAATTAGAAACATCATGCTGAGTATCTTGATGAGGAGAACTAATGTAGATTCTATGATTCGCAGATATAGAAAGAGTACAACATAATGTAGCAGAAAATTTTCATGAGTGCATCTACGTTTATATAGACACATGTACACAATGCACTGATGGTATTACTTAGTTTAGGTAATAAAACGTCTGCAAGAAAACAAGCTCAGAGAACATCAAGGACCTGTCATATACACATTCATTCAGTTTAGCTCAGGTACTGAGAAATGCAAGTGCATCACTTTTGTAAAACCAGACCAAGATAAAGTAGTCTGTGCTTACATTTACTTACTTACATCTGCCATAATATCTTGCTGAAAATAACTTTGGAATACCATTGTTTACTGTAATTGGCAAGGAGACTAGAGGGAGGGAGAGCAATTGTCATTTGAGCAACAAGTTGAATGTCTGTTGATTATATTGAGCTGGTACTTTCCCAGGGTATGATAGTTTCTTATCTTTCTTGCCATTGGTAAGATGTTAATTATACTAAAAATCACATGATCCATTATAGGCTACTTTAACGTGATTTGTCTTAGCATTTGTTTAACACTACTCAACAGTAGAGGATAGATTAGAAATGAAAATACAGCAAAGTTATTATTCACTAATTTATTTTACATAGGTCCTGGAAAATTACAACAAGGGCAAAACAGCTTTGCTTTCTGCAGCCAAAGTGATGGTGAGTCCTACAGAAGTGGACCTCAACCCGGAATTAATCTTCCTGAGTCAACCCCTGTCTAGTAGACCTTCTGTACAGATTGGAATTGGAGACATAACAGTGGACAGAAGGAACAGCAGTACTAAGTAAGGATATGGCTCTGATTTTCTAGAAGGGCTTACGAGGGCAGCTGGTGATCTTATTCCTTCCTGCTATCCTGTTGGTGAATATCGTAATTTCTTAAAGAGTCATGCCTTCTGTATGCACGTCTGTAGCTTGTTCCAGGAAATTATAGTCTAGTCTGATCGTAGTCTCATATAATTTGTATTCTCCTTTTGCAGGAGTAAGGCTCACTCTGAAATCAGTTTGGAAGGGTTTTATGAAACCAAGCTTCTGTCACCAGTGCAGAAGGATCCTGTGGAGATCTTGCTGCTAGATACCAAGGAACGCCTGTCTGTAGAACTGCAGGACCGGCGTGCTCCTCTTGCTACAATGGAGAGCCTATCTGATAATGAATCCATCTACAGCTTTGATTCAAGGCGTTCCTCTGGTTTCCGTAGCATCCGTGGCTCACCCAGTCTCCATGCAGTCATGGAAAAAGATGAAACTCATTGTTTTTATATTGATCCAGCAATTCCTGAGGAGAACCCCTCCCTTAGCTCACGGACAGAACTGCTTGCTGCTGACAGCCTCTCCAAACATTCCCAGGAGACTCAGCCTCCTGAGGGCCTGCAGAACAGTGGAGACACCACTCCTCAGCGGCGATGCAGTGATGAAGGCGCTGGTAGTGATATCGATCATATTTCCTTTACTCCAGAAGAATTGACCCTCCAAAATGGGAGGCTAAGTGATGCCCCCAGCCCACAAGTGTTGGAGTTTGCGGAGTTTATAGATAGTCTCTTTAACCTGGACAGCAAAAGCAGTTCCTTTCAGGACATTTACTGCATGATGGTATCGGACAGCACCAGTGATTTTGCTGAGATTCCCAAGTCAGTCAGTGACCAAGAGATCTTGCTAAGAGCACAGTATGAACCCAACTTAGTCCCAAAGCCCCCCAGGTTATTTGCAGGCTCAACAGATCCTTCCTCAGGCATATCTGTTTCCCCTTCTTTCCCTCTGAGTTCTTCTGGAGAGCTTATGGACCTCACTCCTACAGGCATGAGTAGCCAGGAATGCCTCACCACTGACAAAATCCGGACTTCCACTCCTACTGGAAATATGACCAATCCTGCCAAACAAGAAGACCTTGTGATCTCAGCCCTCTAATATAGGAGAGAAGGTGCAGAATAGCTAATCCTATAGTAGAGAATCTTGGGATAGCACTTGGAGGAGCTGGTCTCTTGGCAAGTGGGAATGAGTGAAAATGCATGGGGTAGTATAATTTCCCTTCCTGGGTGCTACACTAATGGCACTACAGTGGATTTCAGCATGAAGGATGCCACATCATGGGTCACGTTCTTTAGTTAGGGAGAAAATCACTGCCTAATGCAGCTTGCTGCTTTTCAGGGTCTCATTCACTGAACTTAGATGATTGGTTTCCCTACCTCAGCATATTTCTTTAACAAGAAGGCAGACTCATTGCCTTTCCTGCTGAAATTATGGGCTAGATGATTAGAGTAACTGAGGCTAAAAGGTCTGATAATGCCCAATTGTCATGTCAAAATCAAGGAAATTGTGGCATCAGGCTTTATTGCACTAGTGTGTCATGTTTGATCCAAGTATCTGTTTATTGTTGTCATCATGATTTTTTTATGACATGCTCTCCTGTTTTATAGCCATTGACTGTGTTCCAGAGGAATGCAGCCACCTGCTCTAAACCCTAACTGGGTGCAGTGAGAATTGGGATGGGGCAACCTGTGCTCCTCCGATTAGCTCTGTGTTCAGTGATATCCGCTCTTCTTCTAAGAAGAAAGAAAATACATGTGCCGGAGAGTTGAAGGCCATTTCCATCTTTCATCACCCACTGGAGGGGTGAACAGTCTCTTGGGTCTCACATTGTTGCACAGCTCCCCAAACCACTATGAAATAGAGACAATCTTGCTCTCTAGTATAATTGATATCTTTATTTGCATGGATTGATTGGTCTAAACTACCTTTTGTTCTTCAAGAAGCTTGCCTATGCCCTGCATTATTCCCCAAGTCCTTGAGTATGGAACTATTTTGTTCCCATTTATAATTGCAGTATAATATTATCTGTCTCTGAGTTCAGGAAAAAGAGGGACTTTTACTGCATATTGAAATCTCATGTATGTTTACATATCTACTAAACATTTGGGAGGTAATCAGGAAATATCTACTTTTGTGGGGAAAATGTGCTCTCCGCGATTCCCATTTCTCTATTGACATGGGGCCTAACTCAACTATGGAAAAAGTAAGAAGAATTGCTATTACATGTCCTTACTAGAAAGTAAGACTGGAATGTTGGCATTAACCCTCTGTATATGCATCCTAACACCCAACCGAGTATTATGAGCTTATGAATATGAGGTAATTGCACAACAGCAGCTCCTGCATCTCAGCTATTAATCCTGCAATTTGGTGCTCACAATTAAATTCATGACAACAGGGTGACACTGTGTAAAATTGCAGGGATTTTCCAATGGTGAAATTGGGGATGAAATAACATTTGTGTAGAAGATAAATATACTTGATCTACAGTCCTTTTTTTTGTACTAAAATATAACTGAATATGACATTAACGCCGCAGCAAATTCTTAACTACAGACTAGTTCAATATACTGTGTCTGGGTTCTACAAACTATACTAGATTCATCTCACAAGTCATGAAGTATGTCCTTAGTAAATCCCTTAAGTTTGCAGCTGTAAGCCTCTGAGTAGGCTGTTAAAATAAAGTGGTTTTGAGGAATTTTTTAAGCTCCCATGAATGATTAGTATGCTGTGTTATGCTTAGAAGTTGTACGTTGTGAAGAAAACTGAGAAGAACTGTACACTTTGTGTAACAGATAAGATAATCTGCATATCTACTTGTAAACAGTCTCAGTGGGCTCAGTGAGACTTTTTTCACAGGTAAGTGTGCTTAGAATTGCAGTCTTAGTTCTAGGAGACTGTCTACATTCAAGTTGTTGCCTTCTATACTTTAACACTGCATTTATTTGAAATAAGTGCAATTTACTTGAAATAGGTCTGCAGTAAACTCATGTGACTTCCATTTGAGAAAATGCATTGAATTGGACTGCAAAATTTGGTTATAATAATATACTTATATTGCATTAATGTAACTGATTTTACAATATGAAGGATATGTTGAAACTGGGGCCTTTTGTTTTTATATACTCTTAAGTGAGACAGGTTAACCCTATTTTAAAGTGATTGTGCTTTAGAATTATAAATTTCTACACTTGAAAAATGTTAATTTAATGATTTAGGGTTATTCCAGTTTGTTCCTCTTTTCCCAGGAATTCTTGCATCAGTCAAGAACAATTCTATCCATCTTTGAGGAAAAAAAATCTGTCTTTTGTACATAGTACAACACAATAGTAGTTGTCACTCATTTAGATTACTATAATTATGTCCTACTCCAGGCCAAGGTAACCACGTGTTCTTCACTAAAGAAATAAATAGAATAATAAATAAATTATAAAATAAAATTAATAAGTAGAAATAATATTGAGCTATTAAAGGTAAATTTGTATTTTCAAACATTCAGGTATACTTTGTGATGAAAGCACATAAATACTTCAATGAAATTTGGAAAAGAGGAGATATTGGTAAGTTTAAGGTGCAGATCCTTATAATGAATTAGACCAGTGGTTCTCAACCTGTGGGTCCAGACCCCATTTGGGGTCGAACGACCATTTCACGGGGTCGCCAAATAATGCAGTCCGCCATTTTCCCCCCTTTTCCTTAGCTGTGCTACTCCCTTTTATTCTATTGGCTTTTGAAAGCCAATAGAATAGACTCTCTTGAATAGAGTCTAATTCTATTGGCTTTCAAAAGCCAATAGGAATTGTCCAGGCTGTCTCTGCCCTGCTGAGCTCGCCAAAAGTCCCATTCTGCAAATAGTGCTGTACCAGTTGAGTAGTCCTTGACTTACAACCAGTTGGTCGCGGCATTAAAAAGATTGAGAACCACTGAATTAGATGCTCCAGATTGAATGGCTTAAGGATCTGAGATAAACAATCTAAACTGGGTGGTTTAAGTCAGTTAATCTCATAAAAGCAATGTTTTGTAAATTGAACTATATTCAGTTATTATGTTAAGGCTATGATATTTGGTTTGCAAAATCCAGAGTTGATGTTTCTGTTTTTGCTAATATCGAATGGTTATCTAAGGATAGTCCTAGCTAATATTTAGCATCTAGAGAATTCTTTAAACATCAAAGCACTTTACAAATTAAATAATCTTCCCAAGCTAGGTCAGGAGAACATCAGATGGAAAAAAAGAAAGGGTTTATGCTTGTAATTGAAAGAAGCCTCTATGATATATTGTTTGAGGTAGTGTTGTTAAAAAAAATACTGAGGCTACATAATATAGGCTTCTTGCTTAAAAGAATTATTTTAGATTTAGAGAGTACTGAAAATTGATGCAACTTTGCTTGAAGAAGAGTTTAATTTGTTTTCCTGGTGGTAGATGAAGCTATTGCACTACAATGTCACATCTGACCTGAAGGCAATTTTATTGTCATTTCTTAGGGGTGGTTATTATTTTTATTTTAAAGTTGTTTGACAGTATCCTTAAGATGTTTCTTGCTCATTTTCTTGCCTGGGGCAGCAAGAATTTATCCTAACTTGATCCCAGATTATCTGTATAATTTGGGAATTTTTGTTCCAAAAGGAGAAACACATTCCCGTGACTCATATTCTTCAACTAACCTTGAGTGGCTGTAGTAAAATGGGAATTGATTGGGAACATTTAATAGTATCAGTTCACAACATTCCATTTGCCTATTATATTCTTATTTATCACATTCCTTTAGCACTAATTGACAATTTTAATATAAATCTAAGTAGTATATAAACATATCCAGCAATATTAATTTCATTTTAACTGGAAATGATCTACAACTGATATGTAAATTCAGTGGCCTGTTGAGCTTCATGCCTAAATGTGGTACTGCTCTACCTCTGTCATTCCTAGAAAATGCTACTGTTCACATGTATGTTCCCTCTACCTTGGGGAACATTGATTTTCATCAATTTTTTTCCCTAGGTTTGAAAAGTGCCACTTTATTTAGTTATAATCTATTATTGTTCTATATTAATAGCTAATAGATTTTGAATGGAAATTATACCATTCGGATGAATGTTTGAAGCAGAGTTGGCCAGCTGATTTACACAAGCAAGTTGAATTTGTGCACTTTAACAAGTACTAAATACAAAAGTTCCTTAAATATGCTGATGCTGCTTTGCCAAAGATGCCCTCACAAAAAACATCTTTCAGCTAACATGTTCTAAGTTAGCACAGATGGGGAAAATGGATCTTTTGCACAGCAGTGTACATTGGGATTATGCCTAATGGACAGAGATTCAAAAAATATAGTGGGTGGCTCCAAACTGTCAATCTCTGAATGTGGCTAAAGAATATATGTTGACACATTTTATCAATAAGTCTTTTATTGTTCTTAAATATAAGTGTATAACAAAAAAAATACTTTAACAATAAAATTTCAATGACCGGGTAGCCATCATCAAATATAATCAGAAACAGGTACATAAAACATAATAACTTGCATTTTGTTTAATTAATTGCACAGCTTAAAATAATTTATTGCTGTTCAGATGAATTAGTTGAAGGTTGTTTCCATTATAGATAACTGAAAGAAGGTGTTCTTAAAATTTACCCAGATCAATAGTGTTATGTTAGTTCTTCTGAACATGTTTGTTTCAGACATAAATCCTATTATTAAAAGAGTTGTGCCAAATGTGATGAATGGAAACTTCATCTTATGGTAATTCATGTGGTTTTAAATATACGTTAATCTTTCCATAATTTTGTTCCTTTTCAATAATCTGCAGTTTTCATTTCCTATTCTATAATTTTTCAAACATGTTCATTATAATTACACTTTTATCAACTTTTCCCCTGTATTCTTGATGCTAAATTGATGCCTTCTCTTTGTCATCATTTCATCTTAGTTAGCATTGGAGTCATCTTACTGTTTCAAAAACCTGTTTTCTGTTATCAAGCTTTCCCGCATTTTAAAATTCAAAACTATCCATGAGAGTGCTATTGTTCCAAGCCTGTTTTCCAAGTATTCAAATTACCATATTCAAATTACAATTCTTCTTCCAAATAGCACATCCTTTGTTTTTCAGATTGCCATGGGAAATACGTATACAAGTGTTGCTGAATAATGCCTTTGATAAGCACATAATTTCTCCTTCATGTATTTTGAAAACTTTGGGTCTTTTTTTTTTTGTGCAATTAATTACCATTTCTCCTACTATGCAATTGTAATTTTGAAGTATCAGTGATCAGCTTTAAAACAAACATACTTATGAGGAATGGCTATATGCTACAATTTTGCTTTACCCTACGGTTTCAGGAAACCTGATGTATTGTCTCTAGTTCAAAGCCAGCATTCACTTAATAGGAAAGGTGATGGATGGCAGCTAGAAGGTCCATCCTTAAAATTTGGGGAGGGAGGGGTATTACTGTGTAATGTGTGCTGCTAAAGATAAAATTGTACAGAATGAATCCTATGAAATCATCTGACACTTCCGTAGTCCATCCTGCCTAGGATTGGCTGTTCTGGTCATGTTTTTCCAGTGTCTCAGGCAGAGGGTTTCAGACTTGTTAAAGATTGAATCAGGGACTTTATAGAGATAAATTATGTATTCTACCATTGATTTATGGCTTTAACAATAACAGCACTAGCAAAATAGTCCTTGATTAAAGCTTACTCTAAGAAGTTTTAAATTTAAACTGAAAAATACTGAAATGATTTCACCAGAAAACATCTAACTAATGTTCCATAAATTTTAATTTATAATATTTAATTAAATCATATTTTATATTCAAGCCTCAAACTTGGGGTCTATTAAAACCTAGAAATGTTTAACAGAAATATGCAGCTTTTTTGCACAATCTATCTTGATGTTCTTTGTTTCTGAATTGTAATTATTTTTTTCTTTAGCACCTAGTATTAATGCTAGTAGAGTAAGTGACATTGAAATATTGAAATCAAGTGACATTGAAATCATTGAAATCAAAATGTACAAATTAAGATACCTTATTGAACATAGTGTATTCTGTTCTGATAAATGTTATCTTTAAACATTATTTGCATACTCAGATCATTCAGATTATGTGGTCCAGAAGGCATTTAGTTATGAAACCATCAATCAGTTGGGAAGATTTGCACATGTGCATGTATGTGCACTCCATTAGAGACTTAGCCCCAAATGCTTTCACTTCAAAATGTTTGCTAAACTTTAAAGAATTGGAAGGCAGAGGTGGGAGAAGTTGGGGTAGTATTTGTACATAGTTTCAGAGATTAGAAAATTCTAGAGAAATGAAAACAAAACACTTTATTTGATTTTCTCTCTAATGGGGAATAGACACAAGATAATCCACCCTGGAATACATTTTCCACCCAAAGCAATAATAGCATTGAATCACTGTATCCAAATCTGAACCCTGTTATAAAAATGTAGTCGTTGAAAACTGGAGGCCCATCTTGCCCACTGAGACACAACCATACACGCTAACCTTTCTGTGTTATCTTCATCTAGTTTCCTCAATTTAAGAATCCTTTTAACCATGGGGTCAATTAGCACCTTTTAGAACACATTGTGTAGGACGTTCAAGCACATAGTAAGTAATGAGTCCTTAGTTATTATCACAAGATTTTTCAAAACTAATATTGAACAGTGAATTATAAATAAAACACATGCTGCTAAATTTATTCCAGATT